AAAGCTGTGTAGAAATGGGAGCATATTGGAAAAGACGCTTTTCCTAAGCATCAGACAGGGCCCAGCTTTCATTTTGTATGTGCATTTATCTCTCTAATTAATGCCTGGGTGCTGTGTGAGAGGTGTAGTTACCCTTTGAAATGCTAATGCTGCAGGGGAGTATTGTGGTTCTCCCTATCAGCTGCGCAGAGGCTGCAGCAGAGGTCAGCGGTGAAAAGTTTAATAAATTCTGCCTCCCGGTGACTTACTAGATTTCAGCCATACAAAGACAAGAGAGAGACTGCTGGCAGCTATGTGTTATCATGTCTGTTTTCTCTGCTCTCTGCTGTGTGCTTCATTTCCTAAAAAGATGAAGTAATATGTTTTGTTCCTCAGGGTGTAGCCCTAACATTTTTAAGGATCCTCACTATATTGTTTCTTTGTGAAATGTAGTGTAGCTTGTCATTGTCAGGGCTCAAAACCTGAGGAATATTTTGGAAATACTTGAGATACCCAGAGACATCTTTACAGAAAGATTCAAGGGTCGGGAGCTTGTTTAGGGGCTGATATACTGACAAATTAGAACCCAGAACAAAAGATATTTTATTTAACCATATGGGAGTCAACTTTAACTCAGCACTTATGTTGTCATCAGATGATCTGGTTTTCTCCTTAAGACTTTGTGTCTTCCAGATGGACTTTTATAAATACATTTTTATGTTGCAGTTCTCCTTTAATGGCTGTTTTTCCTCTCTATGGATTCTACAGTGTCAAAATGTCTCTTTTCTGGTCAAGAAACAAAAAAATCTGCTTTCTTTTTTGGAGTACATAACTGGATGCTAAACATAGGGCAAGTACTTAAGTATTCTCTCAAATGAGAAGGGAGAGTAAGCGAATTATGAAAATAAAGAGATCTCAATGAATCAATCTTTCACATATAACTGTTTACTGCTTGATTGCACTTGATCTGTCAGAGTTCTTACTAGTGTGAAAGTTCACAGAAAAAACACCTGGAGTTAAAATACAACTCATCAGAATTGGCTTACAAAAGTGTACAATGACTTTCTAATTCACACTTATTAATAAATACCTAATGAGGGTAAACAAAATATGCATATTACTAGCTTTTGTGGAAAATATTTTTTTTATCCTGTCTTGGAAAAGTGTATTCTTATCTTGGAGCAGCAAATTCCTTCTTCAGTGCTGCTCCACAAAGGAGGTCTGAGCTACTCTGGCTTCCAGAGCTGCCTTTTAGAGACTAATGGGTAGATCTCACTGTTTGTGGAATTTGTGACTTTTTCTTTATAAATTCACCATCAGGCCATCCCTTTGATTCCATAATGGACAAATTAATTTTCTCAGACTGGCTTTCTTCATTTTTTAGAACAAATTCTGCCATCTGTTTGCTGATGCTTTGCATCAGTCTTAGTCAGATACTGTCATTTACAAGAGATTGTCCTTGTTACGTTGCCTGTCTTTCTACTTCTGTGTGGCTTGGTGTCCGAGAAGATGATGGTCTGTCACTTCTGGAGGAGTAGCTGAACCACCTGTGCTTGTTCTGCCACTGTCTTCAACTCCAGGTGACACCAGGACATCGTCCTTGAGCCTCTCTATGTTGCTCTCTTCTGAGAGGTGCTAAGTAGTCTCAGCTTCTCTCTAAGGTGGGGGCAGCAGTGCTGCCTACACATATGCTTTATCAGGGTATCAGTCTGTGGATAATAGGCAGAAATAGTAGTTATCTGTGGAAGTTTATTGTCTTTTTCTATTTTCTGTGATCAATAGGAGGGAGTCCAGCATCACAAAAAGCAAGTGACCAGTTTTTAAATCTTGGAATATCTTTTTACGTGGTATCATATTGATTCTAACTAAGTGAAGAAGGTTTAGAAACACTGGCAACTTAGAAAAGAACAATTGCAGCTATCATTAAGCCCTTTCCTTGCCACTAAGGGATAAGGTTTCAAAGCAGGGAATTAGCAGCATGATTTTTGTTAATGATAATGAGAGTTAGTTGCCTGTCTCCCACAGAAAATGTCCCCAGTGTGTACTTTGTTTAGCAGTTTGAGCTGAGGATAATCTGTTCTACAGTTTATTTCAGATTTTTTTTTTATTATTCACAAGGTGACACTGCATGCCAGGCAAGCATAAATGAATGCATTATTGCCCTCGTATCTTCGCACAGTTTTATCTTTTTCCTTAAATCACAGCATTGGCAAATAAAATAATAGTTTTATGTTCCTAAGCACCAAGTATTTTTAAAAATGAAGGAGAAAAGAAGCTTTTTTCCAAGGTTGCCAAATATTACCAAGTAGTTTTAACCATAGAATTTCCTGATTGTAGTTAAACTTGGGTCCACAGAATAGAGGTTTTCTTGCCAAATTTGTTATCCAGACTTACCCTAATTATACAAAATGTTCAAGAATTACTGTTCTGTGTAGTCAGTTGCATTAGAGCTTGACAGTGTGACAGTCAGGAGGGCAGGCTGAAAGTGTGTCTTCAAAACTAGAAAATATAGATTCGGAGGTTTATTTTTTTTTTAAGCTGAATATAGTATTTATGCTGAAGGAATGTTGGAGTGCTTTGTCTTCCAAGTTACCCAACTGTGAGATGCTAATGACTTGACTATGAAAGGCAAGGGTGACTTCACTCATCTCCACTGTGTTTTCCTACTTGTGAGGAGCTCATGAGTGTTTGCTCCTCTGAGGTAAAAGGCCCCCTTTTTTAAGTCTATCTCTCGTAGTTGAAAAGGAGCGTAGGGAACCCGCTCTGGCCTCAGGTGATACAGATGGGATATGTATGATTTGTCTGTGTGGGGTTGTTCCTCCTGTTTTAACTGAAGGAAGCAAAGGTTACCACAGACGCTGTCTTTAAATGTTCATGTCTCCAATGTTAACATTTGTTTAAAAAAGGTTAATTGCACACAATTATGTGCTCAAGGAGCTACATCATGAGAAAAGTCAATAGTACTAGGAAACTTCAACTTTGAATTAATGATTCTACTGAACACTTATACCAGGGCAATTATTTAAGGAGACAGCACGATATTTTATTATAAACTAACTGCTAAAGAGCGGTATAAAAGAAAAAAAAGGCATATTTAGCACTCCGTGCTGAATTCTTCAATGAATGAACGAAGAACCAGTTCTATAAATCTTTTAGATTTAACATAATGGTGCTGAATGCTTTAACATAAAACTACTTCCAGTATTAAGCTCTGTGTCCAGTAGTTTAGTTCTTTTTTTTTCCCTAAGACAAAGGCCCAGTTGTGCTTACTTAGCAAGAAAACCTCAAGGGTAGAAATGGCTTCTACTTATTTTGTAATCAGTCTCTCCAGCAAGAGTTAATTACTGCCTTATAGTACAGGTGACTAAAACCTCAAGATGTATCTTGAAACTATGGCAAACCCTCTGGAATCTCTTTTGTGGGTTTTTTTTTGGCAGGGGAGAAGGGGGTTGTTTTGTCCAGGCCAGCATTTGGGGAGTTTATGTAGCTGCTCAGTGAGCTTTCAGCCTCTGTCCTGCCTGGATAGGATCCCCTTGGACAAGATCCTCTATTTCACAACTTTTGTGACAATGTTGTCTTTTCTTAGTAAGCTGACTAAGCCTTTACAGGTTTTCATACTGAAAAACTGCTTTTTTAAGTAAGTTAATCGTTTGGCTATAGAAGCACTTTTGGATCATAAGCTGGAATCCATCCTGGCCCTCCTTACTCCATAGCCAGTTTAGATAGGTGTCCTATGGCTCTAAAACATCCTGGAACGAACGGAGGAGCAAGAGCAAAGGAAATATAGTTAAGAGAAAGGAAAATCTCCAACTGAGCCGTACCCTCAGAGGATCAGCACTGGGTGTTATGCTTCCTGAGAGCTCTACAAAAGGCTTAGTAGACTCCACTGGTCTCATATCAGTTTTATACTTTGCCCCTGTCAGGGTTACGGAGTTGATTCACTCCTGCTCAATATCAGTGTAAAATGGAGGAGAATTAAGCTAGCTGAACTGGTTGTGACCTTATACACTTAGCGATAATTAACAGGTGTAAAGATTGATTAAAACATGGTTCTAAAGTGCAGTAGACTGCATCCTCTTAAGTGCTTAGAAATGAAAATTTACAATATGTGATGCATGATGCATGATACTTTAAATAAAGGCTGCTGTTTTAACTTAATAGAGAGAATTCTTGTTACATTCTTCTGACAGAATTCCTCTCACTGTGGTGAGCCTGCTCCCCAGGACTGTTTTGTACCCTGGAGTGAATGCAAAGCAATACTGCAAAAGCAAGCAAGTTAGAAACAACTTTTTACAATGTATTCTCAGATTACTTCATTATGAGCTTGTATGTAATGCAGAGGAAAATGACAAAGATAGCTTTGGATTTGTGTGCAGTGTTTCAGTCAGATAAACTCCCTTAAGACATGGACCTTTTCTTTGAAGTTAATATGTGTCTTAACAAGTTGACTTTCCGTGACAACTGTCTGTTTTTCTTTCTGCTCAACTTGCTGGGCTGCTGCACAGAGCAGTGGGATAAGCATATACATCTGAGAGCACTGTTATAAGACTTAACGTGTTTGCTTTTAATGGCGTTGCCTTTGTTCAGGTACAAGAAAAATCTGTTTATTGCTATAGAAACAGTGTGCACCTTTTCTTATGGCCCTTCTCTCTCATCTAAGCCAGTAGTATTATTTGCTTAGGACTTCAGAGTTGGTATCTGGAATTGCTGCTGAAGCTTGAGAAGTCACACTGAATGTGACTTGCTCATTGATGTAAATAAATAAATAAACAAATACTGACTTGTGGAGATGTGTGAACATCTAAAGAGCGTGTAGCTTACTCATAAAAGAAGATTTAATGATTTTGCAGTCAGACCGTTACGTTATATCAGCTTTCTTTTAACATATTTTTAGCATATTTTTACCATTCCTTTGAGAGATGACTAGTTATACCTTTGCCCTTTAGCTCTCTTAAAAAGAAATACTAAATGTAATAAGGTGGTTCAATTTTTCATTTCACTGCTCATTGCTTTTCTTTCAGCTTCTTGCCTGATTACATCAGTGGTGATTTTGATTCCATTAGGCCTGAAGTCGAGGAGTACTACAAGGTCAAGGTAAATTAAATCTTTTTGATGTGTTTTTGTTTGTTAGATCACTGTAGCATCCAGGTCATTAGTGCCCCGTTGGTTATTAAGTATTTTTGGCTCCAGTTGGTGTCTTTGAAGCTCCAAGTGTGAAGCACCTTGTAGGCTGAGATACTGTGCTCCAAGTGGCACTGCACTAATGTACACTCACTTGCATCTTACCTTGCAAGTAAGATTTACCCACTGAAGACATGCATTTTTAGGGGCTTATTGGTATCAGACTGTCCACCCCAATATATCCATATTAATGACTGTGAAGGGGAAATTGAAAGAACTGTTGTTGCAAAGTTTACATTAATGCAATGTGGCAGCCCTCAGGGTGGAGGGGGATGAGAAATTCCATGTGTTGACTTACCTGATCAGTCTTTCCTTGTGCAAAGTAGCACTTTCCCATGATATTTTTTTTATATTCATGGTCAATTACTTCAGCATTAACTCCTTGCACCTGCAGCCTCCTTCTTTCCCAGTCTTTCTTCTGAATATTCACCCTTACCAGAATGGAGAGTCAGAGTTGTTCTTAGCACACACCATTACCTGTAAGCGCATACACATTCATCATGCAATATTGCTTGAGTTTCATTTGTCTGGGATAATATCAGTAGTTTCATTACTTTGGCAGAGTTCTCTGAAGCTGAGCATGTTACATCACAACAATAAAATATTTATTTTCCCCTTGAAATGTGTGTCTAGATGAGCTTCTTCAGTGAGTTAGGTTTTGATAACATTCCTGTTGACATTCCTAATACTTATGCTCATGTTTCCTGGCAAGCCAAGCCCCCTTTCCATTTCTACTGTCTCTATTCCCCTGGGCTTTCCTAGCTGTTTGCTTTACACCTGTCTTGAATTTTACCTGAGCACATGCACCTGACTTGAGTTATTGCCCGGCCAGGGTTAGGAACAACTAACACAAGGTCCAGTTTCCGTTTCATCAAAATTTCCACACCATTTTGGGTGTTCTTTCATTTTTTCATAGATAGCCAATGTAAATAATTCCTGAATGTTAAGAAAGCAAAGGTTAAGTTTTTGGAAAGCAATTATGTGGGATAAGTCAAAAATTCTGTTCTCCGGTTACAACCTTGCTATGACCTGTAAGGAAATTGGGTATATTCCTTAGCTGATGTATAGCTAAATCATTGTGGTCAGCAAAATCAAGTTTAGAGAGATGGAGAAACTATGAAACTTGGAGCAATTTGTGTAGGGTATGTGTGGAGGGAATATAGAAGAAAATGAATCAAGCAGCAAGATACAAGTCGTGTTGCTTAAGTCTAGTTTGAGTGTTGCAAGTCCTTCTGTCGGGCCAGGGCAAGTGCTGCTGAAGGAGATGAAGGCCCCTTCAGTATTTTAATTGCAATGATTTAAGTTATTTATACAAGAAATTAAAGCCATTTCTTTTGTGTTTATATAACTGAATGTATATTTCCCTTTGATTTTTATAAACTGGCTTTATAGATTAGTTTTGCATAAAAGTACTGCTTTTTTGTCCTCTTTGCCTCTCCCCCGCCTTTTTTTAAACTGTCCTTATTGACAGAGATTAATGTGTTCTGGCTTCTTTTAAGTATGTGAAAATACTGGTTAAGAGGAGTGACTTTTTCATGGTAAAGCTTATGGAGGTTAATTATTAAGTTATAAAATAAGTTTTTTTTACAAGTGGTTGTGCATAGTGCAATGCTAAGTGAGAAGTGGGGAGTGTCGAAGTCGGTGCATGAAACTAATTCCAGGTTGGTAAAGAACCTCATCAGGAGACAGCTGTGGGCCTGACTCCTCCATCCCACCCACTTCATGCCAGCTGTTGCTGCCAGGCTCGGAAAGTTTTACATCATGAAAGCAAGAGCATAAATATGACACAAATATGAGCTGCAAATACCCTATGCAGATTTGCAAAGCCAAAGTCTTCTAGTGGAGGAGAGGAACCTTAAGATAGTTCCTCTGATGTTTTCATTTGAGCAAGGATTATATGACAATGAACAATGAAAAATTTCCCTTAAAGAGGACTATCACCATTGTGTCAGGGATCCTGCTTAAATTAAAGTTCATAAAATGACGTTCTTTGCTTCCCATTTATCTTTGTTAGGTGTAGCAAGCCATACTAAATGAAGAGATCTGAGGGAAAAACTGCCGTTTTTCTAGTTTTCATGGGAAGTAGTTATGCAAAACGACTGTTGTGTGTGATGTGTAAGTGATGAGTTTGGCATGTTATGCTTTGGGGAAAGAATAAGTAACTATGGATCACACGTTCAGCTTTACTTTGTTGTTTCTGTCACCTCGGTTTGCATCTTGCCTTGGTTGACTAAGTAGATACTTATATTCATTTATTCCTTATGTTAAACAGAAACTTGCCAGTCTCACCAAAGTGGTGGGCTTTCTCCCACTGTTTAAAGAGTTAAATACCATTAAAAATGGATAAAACTGCTCCACAACAGGAACTGGACTCTCCTGTTTAAAATCCTCTTTTTAAATCTCAACATGCTTTAAATAAAGGACAAAGAACAATTTAATTTAATTTGCTGTGTATCTATTGTCGGCTCTAATAGATTTATTGAGAAGACTCTTTGTACTTTGACTATAGCTAAGTATGCATGTTTAAATGATCCCACAATAGATGCATTGACAATCTTTCTATGTATAGTCTGAAGTGCATTGGAAATGACACTGCACAGAGCAGCAAGGACTTGTGGTGATATTCCTGTCACTGCAGGCTCATCTGCCTCCAGTTCTAGCTGAATGCTTCTATTTTTGAAGGCTTTTAAGCATAAGTTTGAAGATAAAACAGCCACTTGTGTTGTTACTCCTCAAACAAGACTCCTCATTTCTGAAGTTTCTGAGGCCAAAGATGGTATTTTAAATCATACCAGATCTGCACTTATGCCTAGGAGCAGAAAGTTGAATCCAGTGCCCTTTGAAATCCTTATGATGACATTTAATAAGAATCTGGTTTGGCTTTTTCACTAGGCAAAGTGCATGTGCTTTAAAAAGCTTTGGTCAGCATTGCTTCAGACCTATACTTGCTGGGAGTTTGTTTCCCAGCTCTATTGTTTTTCCCGTTCTCTTCTTTGTAGACCCTATAGAATGGCTTATTTTTGTAGAATGGCCTATTTTATATTATTATTTCAAAACGACTTTTGTTTCTTGCATTCAAGGGTTTAATGGTTATCAGTGCTGCAGAAATGCTTAATAAACATGCTGTGGATATTCCCTTTTGTTCTGGGCTAGAGCATCTATAATCAGGTTTACAAAATGTGTTTAAAACACTGAAATTCTGCCGGTACATCTCCAACTTCTACACTTTCTTGATGAACTGCAAGGTTTTAGAGTCATATTTCCTGTCCACTGAAGCCAAATTTTTTTAATAATTCTGTAAAGCAAATGTTGATTCATCTTCGTCAATTGTTATTATAATTCCAGTACATACAAAAAATGTGATGAATCTGAAAAACTTTCAGAAGACTTTTTCTGAACAATCTGAAAAAGTGTTCATGACTGTTCTAATTAACCTTTTCCCCCCTACAATGTATTATTTTTCTAAATCAGATTTTAACACAGGATGGAACGTTAAATATTAAGACATTTGACTTCAATCCTATTTATTAAATCAAACAGTTTTTTAGGAAAACATGGTTTATTTTGAAGCCTGATTCCTATCTTGGAGGAAATGGTTCCAAGATTTCAGAAGGAGTTGTAGAAGCTGTGCAGGTAGTTGTGCAGTTCATTCTTGCTGTTGAATGGACTGCATCTGTTGGATAATTACTGAATAAGCTTTCAGGTTTTCAAGTGATCTCTAGTTTGTTTTTTTCTGCTGAAGATAACTCTAAGAAAGTGTTGTGCATACTGATATTGGGCATCTGAAATGCTGAAGGTGCCCAGTGCCACCTGAACTTGTAATTTCAGGTACATGTGGTTATGTAGCCTAGTTTGGAGATGCCGAAACATCCCCCTCATTGGCCTTGCTGTGCTGAGTTGGGACAAACAGATTGGTCTAGCAAAAACTAGACCTTGTTGCACACCTGCGCTGCGGAGGTATTGGCCATCCTGCTGAGTGCTCAGAGGGACACAGAGGTCTGTTCTGGGCAGCAGCCCTCGATGCAGCCACGCTGCCATCTCCTCTGGTCACTTTAACTGTGCACATGCCGCATAGCTGCTGGCTGCGCTTCTTCCTCATCGTGTGCTCTCACTTCCTGAGAAACCCCACAGAATATCCCACTTTTTATTTTATTTTTTTTCCTACTTTTCATCATGAACTCAATAACCTAATTCTAGAGAGTTTGCACTCCGGAGTTTTCCCTCAGAAGCTGTTCTGCGTTACCATATGGTCAGGGGACAGGCAATAGAAAACCCTCTCCTGGTGTGTGACAAAATTACAGGTTCTGGCTGTTATAACCCCATGACTGGCTGTCACCTGCATGGCAGCATTTGCAACATTGCAGGCAAAGGCTCTTGGGCAACATCCTTGGAAGAGAGTTACAGCTTGTAGCCTTTAGAAGGAATTAGCTGCCCATCTGTCAGCTTGCTAAAAAAAAGAGAGCTGCCAAATAACTCCTCAGACAACCAAACAAATGCTAGTTTAATGAAAAATGAACGGTCATGTAGAACCAAGTTAGAAGTTTTTGTTTTGGTTTGTTTATGTTTCCTCCTCTGATGTGTTTTCACTGGAGGAGTCCAATGGCTTAATATGGATGTAGCTTAATTAAATTAAAGTGATTTATGCCCTGGGATAATCCTTTTATTAATAATTCAGACTATTTTTTGCTGTTTAGGATTTTGGCCTAGAAATTTTCTGTATGTCCTTGCCCTGTAGTTATTCCATGGGAGCTGTGATGCCACTGGTCTGTTCTTGAGGAAGATTTGACAGCTCTTGTGAAGATCACATTTCCAAGCAAGTTGCACGGGTGCTTTCAGTTATGTGGATTTCTTATTTATGCCAAATGGAAGTAATACCACAACGTTCTAGAAATGTCATAAATTTGTAAGAGCTG